GAATCAATAACCAGTGCTCAACACTCCCGCTTGACGCACACCCCCAAAAACTCTTACAGAGTTTAAGCGGCAAAGCCACAGCGCTACAAGCCGTAGGGACTCTGCATGACTTACAACCATGCAGAGGTGGTAACTGATGGTTATCATTGGCTCCGACGCCTACCCAAAACATTTTTGCTTTAATAAATTTTTATGCAAATACATTCATCCTGGTCCTGCCCTCACACTGAGTTAATCAGGTTTGTAAAGCCTTTATTTCGAAACTGCATGCAGGAGGATTGCCAGCTGTTTTAAATATCAAATTAAAGGTGAATTAAAGCAATTAGGTTATTAAAATATGTATGGGTATAAGACAATAGAGGTTTACGAAGGTATCAGTTTGAAAAAGTGGAATTTAATTAAACTATGCACAAGATGTTTTAATATATGGATGCCAAACGAAAGGGCGTTGAGAAATATTTAGTCTGAATACTTAGAATATTTTCGAGGTTTTATATGAGGATTGTCACCTGTTTGAAACTATCCAAATAATGGGAATTAATTAAAATAGGTTTGAAAATGTCTTATCTCTAAGCTTTATTTAGGGGGCTTTCCGCATGTCTAAAAAATCAAAATCAACCTAATTCATCAGTTAATTGCAATATGTATCATAATGCTAGAAGAAAGAGATTTAAAAAGATTTTGATTTAAGAATGCCTTTGAAAAGGGTTGCCATCTCTTTGAAAAGCCGAGTTTAGTTAATTTTTGCCCAATCTATATGAAATAATAAAAAATTTGTGTCAAACTAAAGAGTTTTAAGACAGATTTAGTTTGAAAATATTTTTGATTAGGGTTGTTACCTATTCTAAAATTAATATATGTATATATCTTAGTACATATGCATATATAGATATAATACGCAATTGCATATCTTTGAAAGTCTTCAGAACTCCACCGTTCTTTCGAATGTCAGAAACGAGGTGTCAAATTAATGTGCCATAAAGTTTTATTGATTGAATTAATAACTTTTTTAGGATTACTCGGCGATTTAAAATCTGAGGAAATCAAAACCCAACACCATGCGAGACCTCTTTCACTCACGGATTTAGATGAAATTTGCACACGGATGGCTTATAACTCTGAGTACCTGTTTAAATACTTAAATTAAATTTTATCGTTTTAACGCCTTGCGGGTTTACTATTAATTTAATATTTCTTTCGAATTACAAAATTTTCTTTTGTTTGCATATGCTAATTTGTTTGTCTCTGAAATATAGACTTAAGTTGTTCTTTCAAATGCCCACATACATATATATATATACATATGTATGTAGTTTAGTATACATTTACACTCGTAAATATCGGACGTTTACTTATATAACGAAGTATATCAAAATCTCAATTTTGTGGGAAAACGCATTCAAAGTTTTATCAAGTTCTCATAATAATAATAATACCAACGGTTTTTAACCTCCATTGCCGCCCATCCGCACGAGGGGCGCAGTCCGCATGACGTACGGAACCAGTATTTATTTTAAATTTTTGCGCCGACTCACGATAGGCAGGAGTTTGTTAAGTGTCGAGATCTAAAACTGTTCAGCTACAGAACTAAATTCATCGGCCGATTTTATGTCTTTATTTTAATGATTCATTTATTGAGAGAGGACAGTATCGATTTCTTAATGCTGAAAAGCGGATCTGATATATCAAACGTGCTGGAATGAGAGTTAAAATCGTGGCATAAGCAACGAAGTGGGTCGTGCAATTTAAAATTAGTTTTACAAGCTTTCAGAAATAGGGGACAAAAGTGTCTTGATACCCGGGAGGGAACATTAAGGCTAACTTCGCCCAGAAGAAGCGGACTTGAATTCGAGCCTGTTAGTAATTTAACTATAAAAATTGTACCAAGCATTTGCCTGCGGCTGGAAAGTGTAGGAAGATTAATAAGTTTTAACCGGCTCGTATAAGGTGGGAGGTTATATTGAGAATCCCAACGGAAATTTCTTAAAGCAAAAAGTAGGAATTGTTTTTGAATTGATTCTATCTTGTCTGAGTAAATTTGATACCTTGGATTCCAAACCACCGTATTCCAGAATTGGCCTAACTAATGTTGTAAACAGGGTTTTAGTGATATAAGGGTCACAAAATTCTTTTGACCATCGTTTCACAAATGCAAGTACACCTTTAGCCTTGTTGACTGTCACATTAATATGAAGATTAAAATTAAGCTTAGGATCCATTGTGAAACCAAGGTCTACAAAATTGTATACCTGTTCCAGGTTATGGTTACCTATTGTATAAGAAGCGGGATGAACAGCTCTTCGCGAGAAGCACATTAC